ATTTGCGCCAATAATTGAGAAAAAAAGTGAAGATGGGCGATGTTGTAGAATTTGCTGGCGACGCTCAATGAAACCAAATCCAACTCCACTGCAGTGACTGCCGCCTTGGACGAATCCACAAAAGTCCAAAATGACCTGCGGAAGGAATATGAGATGTTTCTGGACATATCTTCGTATGGAAGCCGGCTGTATTTCGCCTGCAGAGAGTTTGGAAACTTTCACATTCTTTATTCCGTATCAGCCGGTGCATTCAGCAGGATATTCCTTTTGTGCCTGCAAACCACTCAGGTAAGGCAATCCACAGCGATGTTCAGCGCGGCTAATCTCAACTATTGCAGTCTCAAGCTGATAATCCAGAGATCCAGACACGGCATTTGTTCCAAAGCATTTACAATTACATGGCCCGGGGGATGTTTAAGAGCGACAAATTGACTTTTTTCTTACACTTGGTTTGCCGCATGTTTCCGATAGCGGTTCCGGAGGTGGAAATGCGCCTTTTCCTAGCCAATAATTCCTATCAAAAATTGGGCGAGGAAAACGACTCTGATTTGCCAGGATGGATTCAACCCTTTTCTGTGCCGGCAGTTCTTAACATTAAGGTAAATCAGCAGTAAAATGTTGGCATTAACAAAACATTTTTTTTGGCAGAATGCTTTGCCCGATTTGTACAAGAAGTTGCAGTTGAATGAGACGAACCTTTGGACCAGTTTCATGGAATCTACACAGTGCGAGAAGGAATTTCCCAAACACTGCCATGCATCAGAATTTCAAAAGCTGCTGGTGGTACAATGTTTAAGACCTGATAAGCTTTTGACTTGTATCGAAATCTGTTGCCTACGAATATCAGGTAGGTAGTGAGCGGGCAAAAAGCCAAAAGTCCAGCTAACTTGCTGATTTTCTTTAGGACTCCGAACGGTAGATCCCCCAGTTTTAAGCGTAAGCTCCGTCCATGCCAAATCCAGTGCGGAAGAACCGATTTTATTAATCACAACCTCTGGAATGGATCCTTCAGTTGAAATAAGCGATTTAGCCAGGCAACTTAATCATCCCTTTGAAGAGGTACATTTAACCACTAGGCCCCATTTCATACCCAAGTGTTACTTTTGAAGATATCCATGGGAGAAGGAAGTGAAGCTAAGGCTCTGACCAGTCTGGAAAAATGCAGACAATCGGGAAAGTGGCTAATATTGAAGAACTTACAACTGGTAACCTATTGGCTTTCTGTACTCGCCCAAAATCTGAAAAGTAGCCACTGCTCGGACAAATTCAGGTAAACAAATCCTTCTAGCAACTCTCCTGTTCCTTCTGTAAACTCCCACCATTGCCCTGGTAGATTGTGGCTCATTACGGAATCTACTACAAAATTCAATGCAGTATTGGCACAAAATTGCTTAAAAATCGCCTATGAAGAGCCGCAAGGAATCGGGAACAACATGCAACGAATCTACGCATCGTTGGGAGAACAGTATGAAAATAAATTGAGTCGAACTTCTGCCCGAATATTCTTCGTGTTTTCCATGCTGCATGCGTTGCTACAAGAACGACGGAAATACATACCGCAAGGTAAAACAACCGCAAGGCTGTTGGGCAGATGTTGGCACATTTTTTCCAGGCTGGTCGAAGTACTACGAATTCAATCATACAGATATGCAAACCGGGCTGAATTTAACTGAAGATCTGTGGAACGTGGATACAACTCGGGTTCAATGGCAATTTATCACTGGGTTGTTAAGCGAGGCTGTTTATGGAGGAAGAATAGAAAACGTTGATGATACGAACATCTTGGAGACGTACTTGGCCATGTACTTTAAAGACGAGATTTTAAGCCACAAATGGAGGCCGTATGGGCTGAACGTTAATTTACCCAACAGCGGCCAAAACAAGGTGCATTTCCTTGGAAAGTGGTTGAAACATTCTGCCTAAATAATTTATTTTTCAGGAATATTGTCAAGTCATTAAAGGGTTTCCCAACAAATATCCTCCGTCTATGTTTGGGCTGCCTGAAAATATTGATAAAGCCCGTGAAAAGCAAATGTCTTCGACTTTAATCCAGCAGCTGAAGAGTAATATAAAAACCCCCGTTTTATCTTCAGGTTGAAAAACGTACTTTTCAGGATTTTACCAAAAGCACACTGCCAAAACACCTACAGCCGGTATGAACTTCAAGCTTCTGCATCCATTTTTCATTTTATGGAAGAAGGTCAACCAGGGCCACGATTTTATACGACTGAGCTTGCCTGGGGGAAGGAAAAGCGCTTCTGCCCTCGAATCGTACGTGTATGAGGAATACTCCAAGGGCGTAACGCTAATACAGATGATCCATAAGGATTTTGCGAATTTCAACAAAATCTCAAAAGGTCTGCAGGAAGCAGAACCAAATGAAGTACTGGCGGCTAACAGCCTTGGGGAATCACAAGTAAAGTCTCAATGGACCAAAGTTTCCAACTAATAAACAAGTTTCAAATTATAGACACCTACAGCCTGGATTCACTTTTGGAATGGCCCAAAAGACCCCACTCAGTATTTGACTGAGCTTTTGCAGAAAACCGATCACTTGTCCATATGGAATTCGAAAAGCATTGAAGAACTGCTCAAGCAGCCTGTAAAGTTGTCCATGTTCTTCAGTCCGGATACTTTCCTAGCATGCTCCAAACAGGGATTTGCCAGGTGGGAGCTCTGAAGTGAAAACGCCTGCTGTATTTCTAACATTTCAGGTTTTCGAATGTGCCTTTGGAAGAATTAGTGCTTCAAACTAGCTGGACTTCTTCAAGCAATCATGCACTCATTTTGTCTGGCATTCTCATCGAAGGCGCTTTACTCGAGAACGGGGTTTTAGTGGCATGCAAAAGTAACTCGGAAAGCATCAATCTGACGCCAAATTGCTACCTAAACTGGACTGAGAAGGTATAAATTTTTTCATTGAGTTTACTGCTAAACGCCATGCTAAACCGAAGAAAATTTTCAGGATAAATTGCCGCAAGACAATTTTGCAAAATTTCCGCTATACACCGACTCCAGCAGGGAATCGAAGATAACACACATTCAAGTGGAATGCAGTGCTAGTTTAAGAGATCAATATGTGCTTAGTGGACTTGCATTTTATTTGAAACATTAGTTCCAGTTAAAAAAACATTTCTATTGGAAGATAAAGTCTTTCATTGGAACCAGCATTTGGCGGTTGTGGCACTCCCAAATCCAATCTGGAGCGACGCAAGTCGCTGAAGGTAAAATATCCTTTAGGACTTTGCAGTTTTCCTTGTTGGTGACTATGATGTCTATCGAAGACACCAGATCTTCAATCAGAATCCTAAAAAATAACCCATGGAGGCCACCAATAATGAATAATTAGGCGAAGGTACCCGTTATAGGCGGCTACATGCTGCTTGATCTTTTTAGCCAAGCTGTCTTCCAAGGCCTCATCTACGTAAAACA